GTGTATGCTCCGTTTCTTGCACACAAGTCGACGAAGGCGTTGATTTGTATTGTTTACGTTGTTTACCTGTACTTTGCGATTGTTGGCTGTTTGAACGTGAAAGAGGGTATGGAGCCTGTGAACCTGCTGGTAGAGCAGTCGGAAACGGCAAAATTCTTCACCGACTTGCATGAATACTTTTTGGGCTACGGTACCGCCGTTCAAGTGGCTTTTAACAATCCAGGTAGCGTAGTCAGTGAAATTAACCGTAATCGAATAAGGACCGCCGTTCAGGAGTTCGCCAACAGCGACCACGGCACCGGCGTCGAAGGAGTGGAATTTTGGCTGATCGAGTTTGAGCGCTTCCTATTAAGTCACGAGCGGCTGTCGATCGATGAGGTGCCCGAAGGCCAATTTTTCAAATACCTTTCCGCATTTTTTGACAGTCCGGGAAATGAGTTTTACAGCAACGACGTCAGACTGAGGCACGGTGACGACAGGACGGATATGACGTGTTTCCGGTTGCTCGTTTACGTGAAAAACTTCTCGACAAGCTTGGATCAGGTGAACGTCATCGACCAGTTCCGACGCATTGCCGCCAGACATGCGGAGTACAATATCACGACGTTCAACGTCGTCTGGCCGTTCATCGATCAGTACAAGGAAGTACTGCCGAACATTCTGTTCGAAATGTACTCTGGCGCGGTGTGCATGGTCGCCATCGCGCTGCTGTTCATCCCTCACCCGGTGTGCTTCGTCTGGGTGACACTGGCGATGGTGTCCATCGACGTCGGCGTCATCGGATACATGTCGTTTTGGAACCTGCGGCTGGACTGCATCACGATGATCACGTTGATCATGAGCATAGGCTTTTCGGTCGACTTCTCGGCGCACATCTCGTACGGATACGCGGTCGGCAGGCAACGACGGCCGTCGCAACGCATGCGTTGCACGCTGGCCAACCTGGCGGCACCCATCGTGCAGGGGGGCCTGTCGACCGTCATCGGCGTGCTGGTGCTCGCCGCGGCGCCGTCGTACATGATCAAGGCGTTCTTCAAGACCGTCGTCCTGATCATCGTCATCGGCGTCGTGCACGGCATCGTGATCTTGCCCGTGTTCCTAACCTTGACCGACCTGTCGAATTTGAGGCACCTCATGCCAAACATTCACCATTTGACTCGAAGAAGCGGAACGTCCACGAGGGAGCAAGCAATAGCCACCGTCTGCCGATAATCTGCTGTGCAATCGATCGTTGTTATTTCGCATCCGTTTCTGCGCTCATGCCGGCTGTGCCTCAGAAACGGTTTGCTCTTAGATCGAATACGATGGATTACGACAAATTACGTGTCCTTAGTGGTCGAAAATACGACCTGTACTGGACAATCGTTTGTCGATGCTTTATGCGCCTTATGAACTAATATACCGAATACCGAACTCAAAAGACATGAGGAAATTTAACCACTCAGTTTCATAATACCAATATGAATTATGGCATAATGCCATATATATGATGCACTTATTTGCATATCGTATAACGAGGTGATAGCAAAAACGAACTTATGTTCTAACATGGTTTGCTATGCTCCAATAAGCAGTCGTGAAGTAGTCACGGAATACAGTATTTTGCGACGCAGCAAATTTAAGACGCTGTACCGTCCTCCATAAATATGGCATGAAGCTCAATGACCCTCCGAGGCATTTCATCAATTTTGCATAGATCCTAAACTTTTCCCTCCATGGTATTTGTTTGAAGTGTTGTATGCCATCGTCCACCGTTCAAAAATGTCTGACGATATGCCATTTGTTGCTCTTGCAAACTCAATGAAGTAAGTGATTTAATGGTGCTTGGGCCCTTGCACTATTTCAAGCCTCCCTGTGGTTTTCAAGTCTGTCACGTCATCTGCCCTCTCTCTCTCTCGCAGTTCGGATCATGAACTTTGAATAACACATCGAGAGGTGTAGGTCGAACAGTTAATCTGCTTAATATTTTCTGCTCTAATTTCCGTAGAACCAAATCTTTCACTTTCGTCAGCATCAATCCAACTTTACTCCTTGATCTGAAAACGACTCGATATAGCGTAACATGAATTTTGGTGTACCATAACGTTGTATTGCCATGTCATCCCGTATTTGAATATTTAAAGTCATCCCAAATTGGTTGTTGTCTCAACCAGTTCTGGCGATTGAATTTTCAGTTTCTTCTTAATTAGAAGAACTACGTATTCACTTAGTGAGTTTCATATTACATCGCAATTACAGTATGCCTTCATTGACCAAGGGCGACAACGCGTACTGCAGATCATCATTACATGCGATACAACAGAGTAAATAGCAATCAGACTCTTCTTTCCCATTCAGTTATGACAACTGCGAAACACCTAGAATAGTAACATAAATGTTCGACGTTTCCATTGGCCGCACATCTATCACCAATGTGAAAGGTAGGAACCTGACGAAGAACAAAAAAATGCCTAGGAATTTGAGGAGAAAAGCTTAATCGTATTTTATTTGGCCCATCTCAAGGGAACGAGGCAAGAACGCTTTGAACTCATTTTGACCTTGTTAATCTTTATTCCCCTTTATATCATTCTCATTGAAATAATGCAAATTAATGCCAGAGTTTATGGCAATTATAATGGTGTATGAATTTTCTTCATGTCTATAACTACTGAAAACTCCTGCTTCCTGCTCTCAAGGAAGCGTTCTGTTCGAGTCCAAGTCACAGCATCAATACGAATTCCTAAATGAAATTGTAGGTTTCCAATTTTCTTGCCTCAACAGCATTTGCGAGGTTGGGCATTTATCGTAGCCCCCCTGCGACGTTTCCGATCTGTCAGACGAAGTTCAGTAAGTTTCTTTTTCTCACGAATGTTTGATAAGGTCTATCTTGATCGGCGAAGCAATGTCAATAGTTTTATGATGACATAGCTGTGCAAAAATCTCGACTTGTCATGAGACTAAAGCACAAACACAAACACCGCCTGTGTCGTCAGCGTGTGAAGCAC